TATTTTCGGTTGAGCAGATGATTCATATGTTAAATTAAGTTGAAATATTATTCATTAATGGATTTTTTCCTGTTATGAGAAGATTAATAATCAAAAGCTAAGTTTTACAGAACCTTATAAAAGAGCCTTTTAACATATCAAATGGAATTTCATTGTGGTTAAATCTGGTTATATATCTTTCAACTTTGCATATATGTGTCATATATAACTTTGTATTCTACTCTGTGTGAAAAGGAAGTAATGGTTTCCTGTTTTCTCCGTCATAATGAAAGGTGTATGTTGGCTATATTTGCAAAAGGGATGAAACTTTCTCAAAAAAAGGAAATATTTTTTCTGTTTTCTGAAATAGAAGGCTTACTATAGTGTTATTCCAGAATATTTGATTGATTGATTGATTATGTGCCATCAAGTTTTTTTTAACTTCTAATAACCACATAGATAAATTTTCTCCATGGCAACCTATCTCTAGCCTTGTCCATGTCTTCCAATGATGTATTTATTGCCATTCTCCCAAAGAGGCTTTTCAAAAGGCAACTGAACTTCCTTGGGGTTTTTTGCTTGTTTTCTCTTCCAAGAAGCTTCTTCAGTTTTGACTGAGTGGTGGGGAATGGAAAGATTTATATTCCCTTGTAGTCATCTGGTCCATAATTCTCTGAGAGTTGTTGAGGCCACTTAGGGATTTATCTGTACCCTCATGGTCACCTGAAACAGAGTGCAAATGGGTGTGGAACCTTCTTGGGGCTTCTGAAAAGACTGTGTTATAGACAGGAGATAGGTATCCCTGTGGTATCCCTCTCCCTCTGTAGAGAAAGGGCTTTTTGTTTTTAACAGAGATGGCTTCTTTGATCCATCTTTCAAACCAATGGTGCTCTCTGTTCAGAATGTGAACTTTGTTGTCTTCAAAAGAGTGACCTTGGTCTTTAAGATGCAAATGGACTGTTGAATCTTGTCTTGCTGGGTTTGCTTTCATGTGTTGTGCTACACATTTGTGAAGTGATTGTTTTGTTTTCCCAATGTACAGATCTGCATGGTCTCACTGCATGGTACTGCATATACCATGTTGTTCAGTTTGTGTCTGGGTGTTTTATCCTTGGGGTGGACAAGCTTCTGCCTGAATGTATTCTTGAGTTTAAGGTGTGCATATATGTTAGTTGAAAATGCTGCTGAGCTTTTCAGATATTCCTGCAATATATGCAGTGACAACATTGCTTTGTTCCTTGTTCTTCTTTTTGTCTTTTATGGAGCGCCTAATGGATCTTTTTCTGGGTTTCATGAAGCCAAAAATTCTGAGGACTTCCTTGATGTGTTTTAGTTCTTTTTCTTTTCCTTCTTTATTGGTTGGCATACCTTCAGCACGATAATCATTGCCATTTTCTACAAGTAGTCCTCAACTTACAACAGTCCATTTAGCGACAGTTCAAAGTTACGTCACTGAAAAAAGTGACTTATGACCATTTTTCACACTTACAATTGTTGCAGCATCCACATAGTCACGTGATCAAAATTCAGATAGTTGGCAGCTGACTTATCTTTATGACAGTTGCAGTGTCCCAAGATCATGTGATCACCTTTTGCAACCTTCTGTCAGCAAAGTCATTTGGAAGGTCAGATTCATTTAACATCTGTGTTAGTAATGTTACAACTGCAATGATTCACTTAACAACTGTGACAAGGAAGGTCATAAAATGGGGCAAAACTCACTTAACAAATATCTCATTTAGCAACGTAAATTTTGGATTCAAATTATGGTTGTTAAGTTGAAAACTACCTCCAGTGGGTGGTGAAAATCAAAATGTAAATACTGATCTGTGTGTGAGGGTTTATTACAGTGGTGGGTTCTGGATCCCGTTCCAACTGGTACGGTTGGAAGAGGCCCGGCGTCATCCACATGGATGCACGCAGCACGTACGTACACACGCTCAGCACGTGCATGCATCTTATTGTCCAGGGACACCTCTGCAACACTCCAGCTGCTCAGCGGAGTGCCATGTAGGCACTGTATCCGCCATGCCCGTGCTCAGAAGCACCGAAGACTTTAAAGGCCAGTAAAGAGCGAGGGCGGGCGGGCAGGCCCTCCGGAGCATCGTACTAGAACAGTACCCAGTGCTCTGGGCAGGCTCCAGTATGCCCATACTGGGCCGTACCGCCTGCAACCCACCATTGGTTTATTGCATATTTCAATATTGAGGCTTCTGTCTTCCTTAATGTATACTGCACGGTTCAGAAGGCCAGACTATTTTCCTTAACACCTTCCTGTGTGAACCTAATATATATGTCAAAGTGTTGATGTGTTTGGTAAGATCTTTCACTTCCTGTGTTTTAATCTTGACCCAAATATCATCCAAATACCTATACTAGTGAGTGGGTAGAATGCTTGTGAAGGAGTTTAGGGCTTTGGTTTCTACTTCTCCCATTTAGAAATTGGGCCACAGTGGGGGCCAAAGGTAAACCCAGGGTGCAACTCTGTCTTAGTGTGTTAAAACCTTCATTGTATTTAAAATAGGTAATAATCAGGCAGAGGTCCAGCATGATACATACATGGTCTGGACTGAGATTAGTTCTGTCTCCTAATGTTCTGTCTAGTAGCAATAGTTTCTTCCCTACTATGACAGCTTCATTGGAATGCAGGTGAAGAGTGAAGTGATATTATAAGAAAGCAATGTCTCATCCTGGTCCAATTTTAGTTTCCAAACATTGCTGACCAAGTCCTCTGAGTTGTCAATATGATAGATGATGTTGCCAACCAGAGGAGCTAATAAAGTATTTAGATGTTTTGCAATGTTTTGAAAGTGACTGAGTTGATGTTGCTGATAATTGGTCTGAGTGGAGATCCCTGTTTGTAGATTTTTGGGAGTCCATATATGCCGGGTAAAGGTGGTAGTATGGCTTGTCAATGGCATTGTCCTTCAGTAGTTGTTTCAGGAAATTGATGACCTTTTTCAGTGTCCTTCAGAAAATTGTTCACCTTGGCCTTGTAGTCATGTGTTCAGAATAGCTGTGCATATTCCTTTATCAGCTTGTAAGATGGTGATGCTTGGGTCTCTTCTTAGGGACATCATTGCTCACCTGTGAGGTTTGAAGGGGGTGGTTTAGTACTGGCGAGGGCTACAGATGCCTTCATCTTTAATTGTTCTGCCTCTGGTTCTACCAGTTTACTGTTCCTGATAGCTGACTATGTTGCTGTGATGAGATCTGCAGTTGGTAGTTATTCTGGTGTTACCACCAAATTTAGTCCTTTTTGTGGGGGGACACATTATTTTCTGTTAGATAAGTGCTCTGTCTGACAGATTTCTCTGCCATCAATCAGTTCTCTAACATGTCACTATCCCCTCTAATTTGGGTTTGTTCTTCTGTTTCTGTGTGTTTTATTAGTATCTATGATGTCACTTCAGATGATTCTGGTGACCCTGAGGGTACAGATAAACCCCCAAATGACCTCAAAAACTCTCTGAGAGCTAAGGACCGAGTGTGTGACCAACAGATAGAATTCCCCACCATTCAGTCCAAACTGAACCTTCTTGGATAAGAAGTGAAACATTTTCAAGGAAAAAAACAAAGGAAGTCCAGTTGCCTTTTGAAAGGCATCTTTGGGACAACCATCACCTGCTGATTGAGACTCTCCATAGATACTCATCACCATTGTAACTGAATCCATTCACCTTATTTCTCTTGTTCCTCTTGTTCTCTTTCATTTCACCTTTCCCAGCATTACGACTTTTCCAAAGAGCCATATTTTTCCATAATGTGCTCAAACTAGTATAATTTGAGCCTGGTTATTTTTTCTTTGAATCAGAAGTCCGGGTCAATTTGTTTAATGATCCATTGATTAGTTTTCTTGTCTATCCATGGTATTCTCAGAAGTATTTTCCAAAACCTCTAAATTTAGGAGCATTTATATTTTCCTATCCTACTTCTTTGAAGTTCAAGTTTCACTTCCTTAGAGTATCACAGGGAATACCATACCTTGTACAATTTGATTTTTCTAGAATACATCTGTTTGGCACATGAATATTTTTTCCAAGACTTCATGACTGCTCTACACAGTGCCATTGAAGAGCTGTGGTGGCACAGTGTTAGATGCAGTATTGCAGGCTAATTCTGCTGACTGCCAGCAGTTCGATCCTGACTGGCTCAAGTTGACTTAGTCTTCCGTCCTTAGGTTTGTAAAATCAGGACCCAGACTGTTGGGAGAAATATACTTCACCTTGCTCCTTAATCTTTATTACTAGAGTTTGCAGATCTTTTGCATATTGGCTAATAGGCATGATGCAGGTTATTGATGTTTCCTCCTCCAATAGTAAAAACATGTTTGTCTTTTAATCCAACTTCCATTAATACATATTCAGCATTTAAAACCTTAAATACTTACAGAAAATGTATTGCTTAAATTCCTTCAGCAATATAACCAAATTCTAAACTAAGAAATTAAAGGACAAATTATAGAAATATAAATTGATAGCAATTTAAACTTCCTTTGAAATTGAATTTGTGCTTATTAAAACACACTTTTTAATAGATTCCTAAAGCAAAGAAGTATTGTTTAAATGTTAGGGACATATAAAAATATAATTGTGAAAATCCAGGTATCTTTATTGAATTGTTTCCAATATAACTTTTGCTGAAAAAAATGCTTTCAAAGCCTTAGAAGACTTTGGTTGAAGCTATCTGCAGAAGTGTTCCTCCTGTTTCATCCATCCTATGATCTCAAATAACTCAGGGAGTGTCTTTTGCAGGCTTTTTTGTAGAAATATGTACTATTCTCCTTTTTCTATTATGAGGCTTAATTTATAGAATAAACATCAGTTGGAATTGAGACATGCCCCTATTAAAGTTCAGGAAAGACTCAAAATATTTTCTTAAACTTTTAGGGACTTTTAGAGTTTTGTTATTATATTATTTGCTAGGATATTGTAAACGGTCCAAAATTGGTAAGAACTGTTGATAAATTCATTTGCTAAATTAGCAAATATAACACCTTGCCTGTTTCTCTCTGTTCCCAGTATGAAGTGCTTCTTTGTGTGCAAGATCATGATGATCCTGCCATTGATGTGTGTAAAAAGCTGCTTGGAAAATACCCTAACATTGATGCAAGATTATTTATAGGTAAGAAGAAAAGTTATCAAAATTCCCTTTTAATAATTTTTTGGAGAAGTTGATAAGAAACCAACTGAAGCAGGGAGAGAAATCTGGAATAATAAGTTAATATTCTAACTAGTGTGCTGGTGGCATGTCATTACCATACATTTTTCTTGCTTGGCACCTTCTGAGAAGAGGACTAGCTAGACAAATGAGAAGTTATATTATTATATGCTAATGAATATATGTCCATAGCAACAGCAACAGCTCTGTGTGGTAATTTGAGCTAAGAGAAAGTGGAGGGACAGAGAGAGAGAGAGAGAGAGAGAGAGAGAGAG